AATAATTTTTGTTCATTATTTGCTCACCAAAAGCAAAATTTAAAAAAGTCAACACAGTACAAATTTTTTGCATAAAGGGAAATTTTGATTGTCTGTTAAAGGGTTTTATCCAGCCACACCACCTATATACACTCCCCCGGGGCCCTTTTATTAGGTTAACTTCAATTTTTGGTACCACAAATTGCTAATCAGCCCCTCACATCGGGCAACTCAGTGCATTTAGGGACCCCAATGTGGGGAAACGGGCTGGGGAAAAAAGGGGGTTTAATGACTTTGAACATGGCATGGGTTGTTAAGCCCAATGAGCTGGGCCCAGATTTCAAAAACTGCTGATCTCTGGGGGTTTTTATGCAACACCATCTCTTGATTTTTCAGAAATCGCCAAAAAAAAAAAATCCAGTGAATGACGTTTTGTGTGGGCGAAAATGCTTTTTTGGGTGTCAGGATCAAAAAAATGGCAGATGTTCAAAATATAGACTGAAAAACAGAACAATATGGACTAAATCCTTTGGGAAAAATTTCCAAACCTTCGAATTAATCCACAAAGAAATTAAAGGGAGTTTTAAAGGGAAAAGGGGGTCCAACCCCGTACTGCAAGGTGATTAAAAAGGTAGCCAGTGAGGGAAAAATATGAATACTTCCCAAAAATGGCTTGATGGGCAAATTTTAGTGTTTGTATGAACTTCAAAACTCTAAAAAATAGAAAAATAAAAAATTTTTTTTCAATTCGTAAAAAATTACAAAATTTTTGAATAAAATTGTTATGTTTTTTTTTTTCTGAATTTTGATACAAACACCCCCAACCCCCTTGAGTCATTTTCGGGACCTATAATTGGATATAAGTTTTTGGTTTCACTATTTAAAAATCAGCAAATAAAATTTTCTATCCAAGTCAGAGCTTGCCCAGAAAGTTATATCAAGATTTTTTTTTGGGGGAGGCAACCTCCGCTTTTGGTCACACTTCCAGTAGCTCTTTCCCGTTTAACCCCTACAGCCCTGACCTGAGGGGTTTTTAAAAAAAGAGCCCTGGTGCTTAATTTTATTTTTTTTGGAAACTTATCCTACAAAGAACATGAACCGTAAGGGGTTTTTATTGACTTGGTCTACCAATTCTGAATACCAATTGTGTTTCCATTTTGGAAAAGACTGAAGGGGAATTTTAAAATTTAGTTTTAAGTTAAGAAAGGGCAAAAATTTTTTCATTAACAAAAAAATTGAACCCCTGGAGTGAGTCTATGCATTTTTCTTTAATGAAAAAATTTAACAGTTTATGGGATTATAAAAACCCGGGGAAAAATTTGTCCACAAGAACTTAAAAATCCTATGAATAAGGTACCAGGGGCATCTCATGGGCCCCCTATTGACCCCGGGCCCTCGGGCAGTGCCCAAGTTTCCAAATGGTCAGTCCCGCCCCCTGCTTCAGTCATCTCTTTGGAGGAAGGGTGACTAGTATCTGAGATCAGCTTAGAGGTATAAGGAGGAAAATGTCAGTCATAAATCTAGGTAAAACTTGACTTTAATGTTTCAAAGACTACCTAGATTGATGATTACGTACTGTAAATCCTACATACAAATAACTGTAAAGTTCTATTAGAATACCCAGGGCTTTTTTTCTCAGAGGAAAGGTGGTGGAACTCCCCCACCCAAACCTGGCCACGCCCCCATCAAACCCTAGGACCACCCCTTTAGAGAACAGGAATGCAAGTAAAATTTGGGAGGGGCTTCCGATGACATCATTTCCCGTACATACCATATAAGGAAATGATGTCATCGGACCCCCGGCTGCCTCTTGCATGATCTGCATGAAACACATGCATAGATATAAAATGACTAATGTACTGACACCAGAAACACATGCATAGATATAAAATGACTAATGTACTGACACCAGAAACACATGCATAGATATAAAATGAATACCGTACTGACACCAGAAACACACGCATAGATATAAAATCAGTACCGTACTGACACCAGAAACACATGCATAGATATAAAATGACTAATGTACTGACACCAGAAACACATGCATAGATATAAAATCAGTACCGTACTGACACCAGAAACACACGCATAGATATAAAAAATCAGTACCGTACTGACACCAGAAACACATGCATAGATATAAAATCAGTACCGTACTGACACCAGAAACACACGCATAGATATAAAATCAGTACCGTACTGACACCAGGAACACATGCATAGATATAAAATCATGGCAGGCCCGTTTGTAAACGTCCAGCATAGATATAAAATCAGTCTAGCATGCATGTGTACCCTGTCTGGTAGATGTGCCTGCTCCTACAGGCTCCCCTAGGGTTGCCACCTTTTCCTCCAAAAAATACCGTCCATCACTGAATTTATCTTTCCTGTTCCTCATGCACAGGAGGGGCGCTCTCGATCGGCGCCGCTGAGCGCTGAGCAATTGCGTTCTGAAATAGTTTAGGTGGGCTCAGGTGGGTGAGGATAGTTTAGGTGGGCTCAGATAGTTTAGGTGGGCACAGGTGGTTGGGATAGTTTAGGTGGGCACAGGCTGGGGAGAGAGTAAAAATTTAGAGCAATACATGATACTGCAGTCAGTGACAGGGAGCCGAGCGCAGCTTACCTACTCCAAGCTGTACGGCCCCTGCGTCCACGCTGTCACTGCCGTTGATGTCGCCGCGCCGCCCCCGATGTTTACACGCCGGCGGGGGGGGGGGCGGTGAAGCGTGCATAGTGTCCTCGCCCATCGTCCGCGCCCCCGATGTTTACACGCTGGCGGTAGAGGGGGGGGGGTGAAAGCGTGCATGTCCCCGCTCACCGGCTGTGAGCAGCGGCAGTGACAGGTGCCGGGCACGCGCAAGCATGACATAAACAAGCCGCGTCCGGCACCTGTCACTTTCGCTGCTCTGCATAGCTTGTCAGCTCTGCAGAGGCAGTCGGTGAGCGGGGACAAGAAGAAAAAGGTGGCGGAACGCAGTACCGCCGCGTTCCGGCAGAAAGAAAGCCCTGAGAATACCATTGATGAACCCTTTCTATATTCCCTGATAAAGGGGGTCATTGTAACATGCTGGCTAAATAAAAAATACACCTTTAATAAAACACAACACCCTTTGACTGGTACTTTCCTCATGTACCTAGTTGATGGTATAATAGTAAGTCAACTGGACATGTTCTCTAATGTTGAAGAAGTTTGACCACTCACTCAAAAAAAGCTTGGATGAGTGGTGGAATGCAATGGTGTACCTTACATATCTGGAACCCATGGTGGATCATTTTTGTAACACCTCCCATACATTATAATGATTATTTTTAGCAAACATGAAATTAAACGTTATGCATACTGAGTATGACAGCAGAACTGGTTGGTGGAGGGTGGACAGCAGCAGCTGTATGTACAGTTGCAAATGTATGCAGAGGTTTTGAACTTACAATATCAATCTAGCGGGTTTACAGGAGCTCAGAGATGCTATCTGTCAGAAAGTTGTCAACAGTTAGGGACTCCTTTCAAGAAGAAAAAGTGGGTGCTGCTTTGCGATGTATGTCTTATAAAGTGGGAGTAAAATAAGCCCCATTATTGGTGTCAGTTGCGGTAATGATAAACCCCAGCATTGTTGTAAGTGGCCACAATAACCTCCCCTTTAATAGTGGTCCGTGGTAGTTATATTAAACACCCCCAGCTGTAATAATACCCCCCCAGCACTGATGGTAAGCAGCAGGCTTAGGTTGTAATATTAGTGGTTAGTGGCAGCCATAGGCTGTAGTAAGAACCCCCCCCAGTATTAGTAGCAATTGGTAGGTTAAAGCTATAGTAAAAAAACCCCTCTATAAATGGTACAGTTTATACATGTCCCCCCATTCCAAGACTTTATATTTTCTCATAAATTCCATGGTTCATTTGGATGGAAAAAGCCCCAGGCGCCTGCTTTTTGTCCATTCTACATGCAAGTTGGAAGCAAAGAGGTGCACACTAACAGGGGCGGACTAACAACACATGGGGCCCCTGGGCAATAGGGGAACTTGGGGCCCCTGTGTCCTTGCCCAAACTCAAAAAAGCCTATGAAAAAGGTACCAGGGGCATCTCATGGGGCCCCCTACTGACCTTGGGCAGTGCCCCGAGTTTCAAAATGGTCAGTCCCGCCCCTGCACACTAATGACATCTATTTATTGAGCAGGCAAGATTGACAATGAATAAGCCCTGGTATGGGGGAAATGTGTTAAGGCGTGGCCTCAGGTGGGAGTTTTGCAGTCTGTTCTGCATGTCACTCATACCTGCTCGGCAGGGGCATATTTACCACAAGGCAAACAGGGCATTTGCCTAGGGCGGCATTTTTCAAGGGGCAGCACCGCCCCCCAGAAGAAGAGACAGAAGTAGTGACACATGCAGCATGGGTACCAGGTGGGATCTGAGAGAGGCAGCTTGATGGTCTATGCAGAGCTCTTGTTCCCAGGGATGTCTGGTGCTGTGAAGGTGATTGCCTTTCTTTCTCTCGCCAGGAAGTGTGTGGGGAGGGGGGGTTGTATATTAGTGGAAGGCTCTTTCGGGTGGTGGAGGGGCATGGGTGGTGTTGGTCAATTTGGTCAATGTCAGGCTCTCTCCACGGGGTGGGGAAGGGGGGTGGTGTTGGTCAGTGTCAGGCTCTCTCTTGGGGGGGAACATCTGATTTTTTTTCTGATCTGATGCCTAGGACAGCACAAAACCAAAATACACCACTGCTGCTCAGTAAACCTGGCGGGTATTCCAGGGTATCATTAGAATGCACCCCTTTCCTTTCAACATGCTACCAGCAAGTGGTTAACTTGTAGCAACACACACTTTTTCTACCTGTATACTGGGACGTATTTCTACTGTCTGGGGGGATTACCCCACTTGATAGTTATGGCTTCTTTCAGTGCCGGATACTGGAATGCAGGGATTGTGCCATTATTTGGAGCACCTCTACTACTCTGCAGGTAGCCGCACGAGAACACGTTTCAAGTGAAGGAACGCCACTCTCAAAATGTGTTCACTATCACAGAATAAGTCCAGATCAGGGGCGGACTGACCATTCGAGCACTCGGGCACTACCCAAGGGCCTAGGGTCAGTAGGGGGCCCCATGAAATGCCCCTGGTACCTTTTTATAGGCTTTTATGGGTGTTTTTTGAGTGTGGGCAAGGACACAGGGGCCCCATGATCCCCTATTGCCCTGGGGGCCCAATGAGTTGTTAGTCCGCCCCTGGTCCAGATGAATGTAACTTCTACAAGCTATACCATATCCTAGGTAAATTAGGTTTTCTTTGTTCCTACAGTAGAACCAGTTATTCTATAAGGTTTCAGTTATCAGGGTATTGTGAGTTGTGATTATGAGTCTCTGCTCAAGTGTGTGAGTTGTGTATCCTACCGTGGCTTTGAATCAAACCATTATTTCCACGTCGAAAAATACCCAATAAACAATCCTTTAACTTGACTGTTCTGTAGATCAAAAACATTGAATGCACAAATGGAAAACCAGTCCAAATAATGTAGGAGGACAGGAAACCCAGCAAATAGTCATAATATAGAATGGTTATGCTAATGACAATTTGTAAAGCAAAACTAAAAAAACTGACCGTCACAAATTTTATGCCAATGTAAAATGGGCTCAAGTTGGGTTGTTAAATTATTATCATGTCTAATTTTGTTCAGGTGAAGACACAGGAATGTGATCAGAAGTACTGAACAGGTCATGTGAATGAGGAAAGGAATGCTATTTCCGGATGTGAAGTAATACACATAATGCATTGCCTTCTCAATTGGGTAAGTGGTGCTGGTCTCATTGTCAGATGATGAATGGTCGAGCTCTGTAGCTATATTTAACCATGTGATGAAGGCTGTGTGAACAACAGACACCAACCCACAAAAACTAATAAAAGAAGTCACCCTTTGAGAAACCATTGTCTTCAAACGTAGTAAAAGGACATGGTGGAAGTGGAAGATCTTCAGACAAAAGGCAACGGAGAGCAGGGTGGATAGCCAGATACTGCAGTAGTTGCCAGACAGTTCGAAAAAGTTAAAACAGGTCTTTGCTATAAGAAACATTGAACTCTCATAATAAAAAATAATAATAAATATGTTTACTATACATGCAGTTTGAAAGACTACCCTTGATATGCCAATAGAGGTGATGATCCGGTCGGTGACAGAGGTCAATCTTCCGTGTAGCCAGTCACAGACATTCACGGCTATGATAAATGAATGTACCACAAGTCCCATTGTTAAAACGATCCCCAGTGCAGCAACAAGTCCCAGATTCAGGGTAGGGCTTTCTCCCTCCATTGAAATGCTAGCTGCGTTATGAACTGCTGAAGGGAATGTTGAGTGTTGCAGAAATTGATTGATATCATAGTTTCAGGGTTGTGTTATTAAAAAAATAGAATGCAAATCAAAATGCAAAAAAATACTAATGTTGTGAAGTGTTTACACAAGTTGTTCCATAACTACAGTTTACACTGCAGTTTTTTTTCCAGCACGACTGTTGCCCGGTACAAACATAGCAAAGAAAATAGAAATAAGACTTTGTATGTGCCCAATAGGAAAGTAGTAATACAAGATCACAACATTATATATCTATTTTTAAAATAATGTTCCTTTATTATCCTTTTAGGTAAAATGATATTCAGTTCCATGCAATGCACACCAATTATGTAGCACCCCCACCGCTCCAAACCCCAAAAGGATAGTTGGACCCCCCATGAGCAGGATGGACTAACATTTCACATCAGGGTGTAGTCCTCTGCAATAGTGAAGCAATGTCACTATTAGATGCAAAGCAAAAGGGGTGGAATGACTCTCACTCAAAACTCTAGGGAGAGAGGTTAAGGGCACTGGACACCCATGGACTATCAGACTCCAAAAAAGAGGAACAAAGTACTTACAATCTTCACAGATGGAGAACTTGTAAAGTACTTGTAAGAAGGTGCAGTCTGTTTCCTCCACTGCAGGTGGCACTGGACTGCAGTACCCAGGCAGTGGGGAGAGGAAGTGAAGAGAAACTAGTTTCTCTATGACTTCCTCAGTTAAACAGGGCTGTGATCCCGTTGGATGCTCTTGTTCCGTATGTATGTCCCTGGCAGCCATCTTGGGTCAAGCAAAGTCTATTTAAGACTCTGAACATGGGTTTTGATGCACTTAATGAGAATAGTTAGTGTAGGGACAGGTCACCTGTTTTGTCAGGGACGGCACTAGCGGTAGGAAAAGATTCCAGTGTAATAGGGAGAGAATAGGGACTATTTTATCTACCTTTTCAGGAAACGTCCTCATTGGGTTAGATCACCCAGTCTGCACTCCGCTCCTCATGACAGATGATGATGGCAGCTCAGAATCTACACCTTGCTGTCTCTTACTGAACTGTTGTAGGTACCCCTGTTGGGCGAGCCTCCCTGCAGGACCTGTTTGTACTGTTTGCTAATTTTGCAACACAACGCTCTGGGCAAATCGGGACTCTGTGTGCTTTCTGCCCACCACACCATGCTGCACCCACCGAATACACTTTTAAATTCGACTATCAACACCCTGAGGATGAGGTCTACCCTCCAATCAGGTCCAACATTCTGATCCAAGCTTTGCTGGCCCTTCAAGACACCTGAAGTTCCTCCATGGCTCCTCAATCTCTAAATTACACAAGCTAGATGACAAATGCAATCCTTTTCCCAGCCATATGGTCAGGCAGAAGGCCTAAGAGGATTCAACAGGCAAACACACCCCTTCCTAGGCAGGAGACCCAGGGGAGAAATAAATTCCCATGGTCACTTCCAAAATATTTATACTCTCTCCCAGCCTGCACCACTAGCAAAAAACTTCCTAGTGGTTGGATAGGGAGAGAAAGATATTCCTACCTCTAATTAGTGCAGTTCTCATACTATTACTAGAGGCACCAGTGACATCTACTGGCAACAGACAGAAACTAACAGTAACCTGAGCCTAGGAGAAACCTACTAAAGCTGAACTCAGCTATGCTGGCTACAGCTTAGCACCACTAAATTTAAATAAACACACCTTCTTATAGCAGGGTGGCTACAATTACATTAAATCTTTGAATATGACATTTTATAACAAGTCTAGATCCAAAGTATTAATTATTCAACATTTTTTTTAACACATTTTGAGGTCCACAGCAACTTCTTGAGGACTGGGTTATTGTTAGTATGCATGATAGGGAAAGTGCATATTAATATTGTGACTCACTAATGAATTCTTAACCCCCAATACCTCGGTTACTTTAACTGACTTCATGATATAGGAATGTAATTGCAAATTGACTATACACCGTGTTCCAAATTATTATGCTAATTATATTTTTCTCATTTACCTAAATAATTTATGTAAATAACAGTCAGCATAATTCTCATGTTATCAACTATTAAGAGTACAATTCACATTTTATTGAACAAACCTCCTAATGATAACAGGATTTTTGTTAAACATAAAACACTTCCAATGCACTGGTCCAAATTATTACGCACAGTAAGTTTCAAAACACTTTATAGGTTGTAAAGAACTGAAAATTGTCATTTGTTGAGTTTGCAGCATATTTACTGAAATCAAAAGCTATTTCAATCAAACTTTTAACAACATTGTAACTTTTTAAACATTTTGAACCGGTCACGTTACATTGTAACATAGGACCCCTTATTTGATAGCAGCTTCACAAGTCTTGCACCCATTGAACTTGTGAGTTTTTGGACAGTTTCTGCTTGAATTTGTTTGCAAGATGTCAGAATAGCCTCCCAGAGCTGCTGTTTGGATGTAAACTGCCTCCCACCCTCATAGATCTTTTGCTTGAGGATGCTCCAAAGGTTCTCAATAGGATTGAGGTCAGGGGAGGATGGAGGCCACACCATGACTTTCTCTCCTATTATCCCCATAGCAGCCATTGATGCAGAGGTATTCTTTGCAGCATGAGATGGTGCATTGTCATGCATGAAGATGATTTTATTACGGAAAGCATAGTTCTTCCTTCTGTACCAGGGAAGAAAGTGGTCAGTCATAAACTCCAGATACTTTGCAGAGGTCATCTTTACACCTTTGGGGACCCTAAAGGGGCCGACCAGCTCTGTTCCCATGATTCCAAAACATGACTCCACCACCGCCTTGCTGACATTGCAACCTTGTTGGAACAGGGTGGCCGTCCACCAACCATCCACTACTCTATCCATCTGGACCATCCAGGGTTGCACGGCACTCATCAGTAAACAGGACTGTTTGAAAATTAGTCTTCATGTATTTTTCTGCCCAATGCAGCCATTTCTGCTTGTGAGCATTGGTTAGTGGTGGCCGAATAGAAGGTTTATGCACAGTTGCAAGACTCTGGAGGACTCTACACCTTGATGTCCGTGGGACTCCAGAGGCACCAGCAGCTTCAAATATCTGTTTGCTGCTATGTAATGGTATTTTAGCAGCTTCTCTCTTGATCCGATGCATGGATCTGGCAGAAATCTTCCTCAATGTGCCTTTATCTGCAAGAACCCGTCTGTGCTCTGAATCAGCCACAAATCTCTTAATAGTGCGATGATCACGCTTAAGTTTTCGTGAAATATCTAATGTTTTCATACCTCGTCCAAGGCATTGAACTATTTCACTCTTTTCGGCAGCAGAGAGATCCTTTTTCTTCCCCATATTGCTTGAAAATGGTGCTCTGCTTAATAATGTGGAACACCCTCCTTTAGTAGTTTTTCCTTAAATTGGGCTCACAAGCCAATCTAATTATCACAGGTGTCTGAGATTGTTTTCAGTGATCAAAAGAGCCCTGACACACAATGCCATCCATGAGTTACACTGAAAAACAAAAGATTTAATCTTTGTGACACTTAAATAGAATTTGCATAATAATTTGGAATGCAGTGTATGGACAAGCCAGCATGCTAATCTCCTTTCTGGAATGTGCCATTTTCCTTAGAAGGTCATACTGCTCCAACGGGGATAGGTTGACCATTTCCTTCCATTCAAGTCCTGTATTACCACAGCCAAAACTTGTAAGATCTTGGTTTCACATCAGAGCTACCATTAGGCATGTGTCTGAACCTGCTCGGTCATGCTGTGAGAAGTGAGCGGGCACTCCATGGCAAAACAGCATCTTTTGTTAAGTATTCTTGTTATATTTTCTAATATTATCTGTCAATACTTTTAATAAATGTTATACTTATAAGTATTTGTGTGATCTCTCTCTCTCTGCACATATTGAATACACCCAAAAATGTATACTATCACATGACCGTGACAAAACAATGCATAAACACTTTCATTTCATCTATCTGAAATGGACACATATGATAAAACACATTTGGGGAATTCAATAAATCCCCATAAAATACTTTTCTGGTATGATGACCTTTTAAAATGGCTTGCGCCAGATTAAAGATTTCCTTCCACCTGTTTCAATAACTTTACTGACACTTGCGTCAGATTCAGGTCGTTTTTTAATAGCTCCACTATTACAAAGTGACACTATTAATGCAGCAAATTAAAAAATAATTATTTTCAGGTAGTAGATAGTGAAATTGGAGGTAATTAAGACATACTCTAAGTTGGCATACCTAGACAGGTAGAGTGCATGTCTCTGTACGCTGAGTAGAAGGAGGCATATTTGCCACCGTTACCTCCTCCCCTACCTACCTGTCACTGGCAGATGTGCTAAAAGTGAGCCTAATAGCCACTTGGGTACTGGCATTGTGCACAAGCCCATGTCTTGGCAACACAAAACCTGGTAGTGAGCACCACCAGATCAAGACAAGGTTGACATCAGGTTTCCCTTCCCAAATTCCTGTTGCAAAAAAAAAAAATCCCAGCAGAGGAGCTGATGCTACAACTGCTTTCAAAAAAGTTGTGGACACAGTCTCCTTTTGCAAGTTTATGCATGCTGGCATGGGGTGGTAGATGTGCATCTGCATTACTTTCCCAAAAGGCCATCCCTACCTTCCACCTTCATGTGAAGAAAATTGTGTCTCTGCTGCTGGACCAAGCTGTTGTTGGCATGGTACGCATGACCACGGACACCAGATCCAGTAAGCACAGGCAGCAAAACTATGCATCATACACTGTTCACTTACTGAACCTTATGGTACTGGGGAAAAAGATAGGAGCAGCACAGGCTAAACCCCTCTACTTTCTGGTTCCACCTTGTTGTTTGATGAGAGCTGGTGGCAAGTCTATGTGGCTACACCTCCTATATTCTATGCCATCTGAAAACTGGCAAGGTTGTGTGTGATAATGGCCCAAACCTTCTGTCCGACCTTCACTTATGTGCCTTATCTGGTCCATGTCCTAAACCTCATAGTGCAGTGCTTCCAGCATAATGCGTACAGTTACATAGTTAGTCTGGCTAAAAAAATACAAAAGTCCATCCAGTTCAACTGGCCAGAACCAACTCTTGAGGGAGTCTATTCCACATTTTTACAGCTCTCACTGTGAAGAAACCTTTCCGTGTTTGGAGATTACATTTCTTTTCCTCCAGATGTAAAGAGTTCCACCTTGTCCTCTTTGATGACCTCAGGGTGAATAGCTCTACACTGAGTTCACTATATGAACCACTGATGTATTTATACATGGAGATCATATCCCCCCTTATGTATTATACATGGAGATCATATCCCCTCTTATGTATTATACATGGAGATCATATCCCCCCTTATGTATTATACATGGAGATCATATCCCCCCTTATGTATTATACATGGAGATCATATCCCCCCTTATGTATTATACATGGAGATCATATCCCCCTTATGTATTATACATGGAGATCATATCCCCCCTTATGTATTATACATGGTGATCATATCCCCCCTTATGTATTATACATGGTGATTATATCCCCCCTTATGTATGATACATGGAGATCATATCCCCCCCTTATGTATTATACATGGAGATCATATCCCCCCTTATGTATTATACATGGAGATCATATCCCCCCTTATATATTATACATGGAGATCATATCCCCCTTATGTATTATACATGGAGATCATATCCCCCCTTATGTATTATACATGGAGATCATATCCCCCCCTTATGTATTATACATGGTGATCATATCCCCCCTTATGTATTATACATGGTGATCATGTCCCCCCTTATGTATGATACATGGAGATCATATCCCCCCTTATGTATTATACATGGAGATCATATCCCCCCTTAATCTACTCTTCTCAAGAGAGAATAAATTCAGTTCTTCTAATCTTTCCTCATAGCTGAGCTCCTCCATGCCTCTTATCAGTTTGGTTGTCCTTCTCTGTACTTTCTCCAGTTCCCCAATGTTCTTTTTGTGAATTGGTGCCCAAAACTGAACTGCATATTCCAGATGAGGTTTTACTAATGATTTGTCCCCTTGTCCTCTGGGATGACCTCAGGGTGAATAACTCTACACCGAGTTCACTATATGAACCACTGATGTATTTATACATGTTGATAATAATGTTATACAATAACGTATAAAGCCATTTATAACTCCGCCCCAAATTACATCACTGATCTTGTCTCCAATTATCACCCAAACCGTCCTCTCCGCTCCTCGCAAGACCTCCTGCTCTCTAGCTCCCTTGTTTCCTCCTCCCATGCTCGTCTCCAGGACTTCTCCAGAGTTTCCCCCATCCTCTGGAACTCTCTACCCCCAATTTATCAGACTATCGTCTACTCTGCTCACATTTAGGCGATCTCTGAAAACCGATTTCTTCAGGGAAGCCTATCCTGCCCTCAGCTAATAATGGAATCTTCTATTACTCCTACCAGTCCATCCCCCACAGTTACTACCTATTGTACCACTAGCCCCTCCCTCCTAGATTGTAAGCTCCAAGGATCAGGCCCTCCTAACCCTCTTGTATTGAACTGCATTGTTACTGTATTGTCTCCCATTATATTGTAAAGCGCTGAGCAAACTGTTGGAGCTATATAAATCCTGTATAATAATAATAATAATAATAATAATAATAATAATAATGTTGATCATATGCCCCCTTAATTCCCTCTTCTCAATCAGAAAATAAGAAACATATTTGTTACAAGAAACTAATCTACGGGAAGTAGCCACACATTAAAAAACATCTACAGTGTGATCTGGTCCCTCGGGGTTTGCAACGTAAAAAAAAAATAAACTATCATACATGATTTAATCAATAAAACTCCTCAATGCCACACTTATCACAAATCACTACTCTCTCCCTAGAGAGTATACAATATGTATAAATTCTTTTTGTGATACACCTCTAATTTACCCAAAATAATCTCCAAATGTGATATAATAAATAAATAAAACCATATACCAAATACATAAAATAAATATATATAACTAAAAAAAATATATAAAATAAATTCTCAAAATCAAAAATAATAAGTGTCCGAGTCCCAAAAATGATAAAATCCAAAATTTAATCTTTTATAAGTCCAGTGAAGTAAACCGATTCAAAATATTCCTTTGGTACCCTCAAAAAAAACAAAAAGAAAAATTCATAGTGTATTACCTTCAAATATTTAAATACTTCACTCTGTGCACCACTCCAAACTCACACAAAATGTGCAAATACAATTAATTAGAAATCAATTCATATAGTAAATTTAAATTAGATCAAAACGTGAAAACTCGTGATCACTCCAACCTCACGTGAATAGTGATACTAGGTACTAGTACCCTTTAAACTCCAGCCACAAGTGATACTAAATACCATTACCCTCTTTCCATATTTTTCAAGCATAGGCTAATATAGGAAAAGGTCTCCATCCATCCTTCTTTTCAGGGGTATTCCTCATGCAGGTAAAGAAAGGCTTTTTTTAGACAAAATCCATAAAAAGAGCCTTTCTTTACCTGCATGAGGAATACCCCTGAAAAGAAGGATGGATGGAGACCTTTTCCTATATTAGCCTATGCTTGAAAAATATGGAAAGAGGGTAATGGTATTTAGTATCACTTGTGGCTGGAGTTTAAAGGGTACTAGTACCTAGTATCACTATTCACGTGAGGTTGGAGTGATCACGAGTTTTCACGTTTTGATCTAATTTAAATTTACTATATGAATTGATTTCTAATTAATTGTATTTGCACATTTTGTGTGAGTTTGGAGTGGTGCACAGAGTGAAGTATTTAAATATTTGAAGGTAATACACTATGAATTTTTCTTTTTGTTTTTTTTGAGGGTACCAAAGGAATATTTTGAATCGGTTTACTTCACTGGACTTATAAAAGATTAAATTTTGGATTTTATCATTTTTGGGACTCGGACACTTATTATTTTTGATTTTGAGAATTTATTTTATATATTTTTTTTAGTTATATATATTTATTTTATGTATTTGGTATATGGTTTTATTTATTTATTATATCACATTTGGAGATTATTTTGGGTAAATTAGAGGTGTATCACAAAAAGAATTTATACATATCATACATGATTGCAGAGCTGTGATGTCAAGCTCCCATTGTGCCATCAATTGCTTACCTCACATTCACATAAGCTATAAAAAAAAAATGTTTTCTAAATACAGAATACAATGAACTATTACAAACACTATATACGACTGCTCTGTTTTACAACAGTGAAAAACTAACCATATCATCAGGGGCGGACTGACAACTCATGGGGACCCCGGGCAATAGGGGATCATGGGGCCTCTGTGTCCTTGCCCAAACTCAATAAAGCCTATGAAAAAGGTACCAGGGGCATCTCATGGGGCCCCCCTACTGCTATCATTAGCAGTAGCTAGCACTGGAAAAGAACCCCGTGGCACTGACATTTGCATGCTGGAAATATCTTCATAGCTACTGTTACAGAATGAGTTTGCATAGCCAAATCCTGTTCAGAATTCTGCTGGGTATTCAAATCACTCAAGTACTATATTTGAAAATTAAATATAACATTTCTCCTAGCAGTTGCAGAGATTTTTGTTTAGCACCAATTTGGATCAAGCCATTTCTTTATCATTCAGAATAGAACGCAGTGTTTGTACCCACCACTAAGTACATTCTGCCATTTACAAATTAGAAAAAATGTTTTAAAAGAGAAATATGGCCAAAGCTTCTTTCTGCACTCTTGTCACCCGTTTTCAGCCAACAGTGTGCCAAAACCTGTTGTCAGCTGACGTCACAGAGCTAGTCCAGACTCCCAACTTTTTTTTTTTAGATTGTATTTGTATTGAAAAAAAAATCTTTTTACAATACAGCATGAAACAGTACAGTAAACACAGTGTTGTATCACCACAGTAAGGATAGATGATGGGGCATAGCCCAACTCATACCAGAAAAATACAACATAAGGAATTAAACTGATGTTTAAGTACCACCCAAAAAGGGAATTTCCACTTTAATGCCATTAAGGATTGGCACCTTTGGGGAGCTGGTACCCAAATTTAACATGTACCCACTCCCACTTCGCCTAAGCAATAGAAAGCGGAAGTTGCCCTCCCTCCCCGTAGTCTTGTGGGACACATGACAGGTCCTAGAAGACTACGGGGCCATTCACAAAGTGCAGCATTTCTCACGCATGTGCAGTGGGCACCCGGCTGTAAAGCCGCAAGCCGCCACAGCCGGGTGCCCACACTGAAGATGTCGGCGCCAGGAAGAGAAGACGACTGGTGAAACCAGCAGTGGTGAGGAGCAAAGGACAGGTAAGTGGCTGTATTTTGAAAGTCAGTAGCTACAGTTTTTGTAGCTGCTGACTTTCTTTTTTTTTCAGCTGGAACTCCGCTTTAAGAGCATTTTTATAAATAACAAACATGTAACACTTGCCTGCTCTGTGCAATAGTTTTACACAGAGCAGCCCCGATCCTCTTCCTCTCAGGTCCCCTGCCAGCGCTCCTGGCCCCTCCCTCCTCCTGAGTGCCCCCAGAGCAAGCAGCTTGCTAGGAGGGCACCCAAGCAGGCTTGCTCCAGAACCGCTGCTCTTTGTGTCCATTCACACACAGAGCTACGGCTTGGCCCTGCCCCCTCTTACATAATTACATAGTTAGTCTGGCTGAAAAAAGACAAACATCCATCCAGTTCAACCATAAAAAAAAAGCAAAAGTTATAATGCTATACCCACAGTTGATCCAGAGGAAGGCAAAAAAAACCAGCAAAGCATGATGCAATTTGCTCCTGCGGGAAAAAAAAGTCCCCGTAGAGCCAAGGCTCTCATGCACAGCACTGGATCACGAGGGGGCTGGGTGGCTGATGCGCACAGAAGGCTTTTTCACCTTCATGCATAAAATGCACAAAAATAAAAAACCTTGAGCCTTTGCAACCACTTTAACTGAACACATTCTAAAAACACAGCATCTTCTGAAGATGATATAAAGCCCATAGGTCCCTTGTGAAGTTCAATAACCAAGATAATACAATCAACTATAGAGTAAGGACATCAACAGCAGGGCTCTTACTTTACTTTCCATTCATCGTGCATCAGCATCAGAGGTTGGTCATCAGCTCTGAGGAAAGGGATTCGTCCCCGAAACGCGTCAGCCATTTGACCGCACTGACCGTGAGAACACCTTGCCCGCCGTTGTGGCCATTGTAATTTTCTATGCTTTTTAGATACATGCTTCGTCTGTGAGTATGTTTTTATGATTTAATTCCTACATGAAACCTTGGATAATGCACTAGGTGTGTGCGCCACCTGTTTTCTCTCTATAGAGTAAGGACTCATAGAGGAGAGATCCCAACTTTAATGTTGGGATCCACCCAGATTTTTGACTGGCAGTTGGCTAAGCCTCTCTGCAAGCTGCTGAGAGTCTGAGCCAGCCGCTCCCACCTCCTCCATAGTCCAGTGCTCCAGTGAGCACTGGAGGGACAGAGCAGAGAGCCGGTGATTGACAGTCACTGCTCTCTGAAGACTGAGAACTTAGTGATAGGCAGTCTTTGATTGCTCAGGACAGAAGCAGCAACTGACCAATGTCTACCGAGGTGAGTGTAGATTTTAAATTCAAAATTTAAAAAAAAAAAAAAAAAACCTCAATGCAAGTACAGTACTGACCCTGTATAATTCTCCTGTATGTTTTTTTTTATGGCCCATTCATATCACCCTGCTGCAGTAATATGAGCATTACAATAATGCATATTATGTGTGTTGGCATTTTGTGGTACCATTCAGTGTGAATGGCATCCCAACGCACCTTCACAATGTACTTGGGTTGCAGTACACTGCAACGTGTGATTAGCAGTGCACTAAGTTACACACTATATCACTATTATGGATCCATTTTTTTGGATTGGCCAGCCCGTTTTAATGAATGGACTACCTGGATCCAAAATAATGGTAGTCACTACCATAATGTAACATTAGTGCACAACAAAATAAAAATGAATGCACCTGCATTAAACACCGCCACAACTGATCATTTGTCAGGGAATTCCTGTTAGCCAGCTGGCAGGTGCACATCCACAACAAATATTGGCGTATTTAAAGGAGGATAACTTGATGTCAATGCTGACCGGTCTTCAGTTTGTGTTCTGTGTTCTGATTTGTGTTGTGCATCCCGTTATTGACTTTGCTCCCCCCCTGACCTAATCTGGGATTCTGCTCTGTACAACTGCTTACAGGTTCCTGACCTCAGCATACATGATTCTTACTGAGCTTTTGATTCTCTACCGCTCCCACTCACTGTTGACTCTGGCTATCTCTGGGACTTCACTACTGTCTCTGATTTGGCTGCACACTATTACCAAGTGCCAGCTCTGGACACATATCTAATCAACTCCAGTTATCTCTACAGTATGTGTGCTCCTGTCACCTGCTTGTTGGGATCACTTGTAGATTTCACCCCCCCCCCCGAATCCGTGGCTCAACCAAAGTTCCCCTTTAACGTTTGCTGGTTTCTGCTTTTTGGTGCTGATGTTCCCTTAACTGAGGCTTCAGACTTGATGTTTTTCTGGATCTTCTGAGTCTGCATCTCCAGTCCAATGTTCTGCCATCAACATCTACTGGCACTTGTGTTCCTCCTGTCCCTTAGCTCTGTCTGTTCTACATCCAGAGGTGCTTGAGCTGGAGATACAGGATAGGCCACCCTGTTTATTTCAGTTTCCTATCAGCTACATTTTGCTTGAGGTGATTGTAGCCGTATTAGTACTGCTTAGACCTTGAAGAAGGGGACATACCCCGAAAGCTTGTCCTCAAAATTGTATGTTAGTGCAAATAAAAAAAGTATCACGGACAGTACTCAGTTGTTTCTATCAGCTACATGAAATCTGGTGTAAATGCAAACATAATGAATATGGATTGCTCCTCCAGATAAACTACATGACCACTGCATGCCGGCTAGGAACCAAATATAAACCATGTACTATTCTGATTTCATAAATACAGAATGGTGGCTTCTCTGGCTTATAGGAAACCATACACTACTGCCTGCTAGCGAGCAACCACTTTCAAACCTACTATTTAGATTTCATAAACAAAGGAAGATAGCCACACTGCTTTAAGAAAGTGCCTTTATTAAATCTAAATCAATAAAAAGGGAAAATATACAATATTGTAGCACACCCTAACTCATAAAAGTAATAAAAATTAAGGAATCCCCAGTACACCACTGGAATACCTTCCTTTATTATTACATCATTATTCAATATCATATTAGTATATTTTCATTGCAGTCAATTACTATCACAGGACTTTTCAGTGTAAATGTATTCTACTATGAAACCCCCAGCTGTTGTTCTATCAAGAGCTTCAGAAGACCCAGATCCAATAGCTGGACCTAAAAATCCAATAACCAATAATCCAATAACATTAAATCATGCAATCAAATGTGTATGTAGAGCATAATTTTTTTTTTCTAGTTTTATAGTGCAGGAGAGTTAAAACTGCCGTTGCTGTCCGTGTCCCCACCAAGGAGATTCACACTTTCTATTTGCCCTGTCCCGGATTGTCTCTGCTACAAAAAGTGATGGTAAATCTAAAATGTTATAGTTATCACAGGAACAGGAGAGTGATACATTAAATATTAAAAATTCCTTATTTTGAGGAGATTTTATCTCACTTTCTGTTGTGTTTCTGGGATTGGATATGAGGGTTTATCTCCATCATGGGCCACTGAAAGGGATCTCAACCATTTCCTACTCTATCCAAAAAATGTGTTGGCTTTATGTACTCTTTAATGTTAAACCCTCTCACCCTACAATAACCTCAAAGGTTGCTGAATCAAAAACCTCCCAACTCAATATTTCATCAAAGTAAAATATACTGTAGATTATGATTTACATACAGAATTTACTAAGCCTAAATAACAATTCTATAGGTTGATGGAATTCTGTAATTCAAAACCCAGACTATTCTGTGTCTCCCTGCAACGGCTCAACTTTCACCATTGTTAAGACGATTCCTCTGGATCTGCCTCGTGAATTTTGCATTGATTTTATATATTAATAATAGTAATTTTGTTTTATAACAATGAAAGCATTAAAATATATATAAAACCCTAAAATTATTTTGAAATTATTTTTTAAAAATTGATCCATATTGACCTGTATCCTTTTTCAACCTGACTAACTACATATCTATGCAACAGGCTTTGTGATGATCATGAAGAAGAATCATGAACTGAATGGTCAGGTCTCTGCAGATGATTCAAGGAACTCTTCTCTTCTGTTCTGGATGCAGGACCCTTAGTGGGCATTGACGGGAGATATGTCCTCTTTCTCGGCAAATCCAACACTGCGGTCCCCTCATTTTCCGGTCCCTTGGAGGACCACACAACTGTGCCCCTGTGGATGGTTCCAGGCCAGCCCGGTGCATGGTAGAGTCTCTCACTTCAGCCACTTGAGTTGTTCGATATAGAGGGGGAACCATGGGGGCTGCACTTCTTTGCCAGTACTCAGGCTGCA